AAAAAACGTACAATGATATATTTTCTAGCGATAACAACACCGCTGATTGGACCCGAAATAATCACTGAAACTCCGTCGGCTCCATTCGCGGTGCACTGTATATTCGTAACGGTTTGCTGTGCCAGCAGCTCCAATCTTTCTCGTTTATCTTCTCCGATTATATTCGAACGTAACGATGAACGCAAATTCAGCACTGTCTGACAAATTACACTTGTATCACTCTGAAACATTCACATCAAGTTGGAGTTCAATGAATGCAAAACAAAAATGAATAAATTTGACGACATTCGTTCACAACTGAATGACGTTCGTATTCAACTAGTGCATGATTGGTTTGTGATGAAGTAGCGCGTTGAAAAGTACCTGCAACTGAAAGATATCAGCGAGTATCATAACGGCTTTAATGATTGCGATCTCTTGTTGCTGTGTACCTTTGATGATACAGTTGATATTGCCGTTGTAGGTCTCGTGGAACGTTATGAATAAATCCGCCATTCCAATTGTGCGTTGCACTTCGGACAGGGGATAAACGTTCGAATTCGGTAGATCGAATGTTATCGATAACGGCGATAAATTCTAGAAACTTTTTCTATGTTCAATTATCAGGATTACGACACAAGAAACGGATATGGCTGATGTAATACATTCACAATTGCTTGCCTACTGATGATCTATACGTTTTGGGCATTGCTGGCAAAAAACCATTCAAGCCCAAAGAGATATTCAAGTACTATTGAGAAAATTGTTCCACTTTCCAAATGTTCAAAGCGGGACAAAAAAGCTCCAAATTCTTAAACACTTCAAAATATAATGGGAGATGCTGGAATTTTCTGGAGTTCTTTGAAAATGCGGAATGACTCACAGACACATTGAAAATTAGATGGTTATGTGAAGAGAAAGGCAATTTTTAAAATATTCATATTGATTTCAAATCAAAGAAACATAACGTCTGATGTAATGATGTAAAAAGTAGCCAAAATTTCAATATTCCGATTGGAAAACGATAAGCAATTCAAATAATTCGATAATTCTATCATTTATGAGCTGAAGAATGGTTCAAAAAGTTCGAAATCGTCGATAATATTAAACGATATTTTTGAAAATTATCATTATAATAATCGTTTCTCATCACTGATTCGAGTCTCTTTTTGTTTTTAAACTCAAAAAATCACAAAATCAGAAGGAACACGAATTGCAAATGCATTCATATGGTATGAAATAATGCATATTCACCCTTAAGCATTTACGTGCTTTTTCAACTTGTCCAACAGATCCCGATATAGAAACCTGAAGAAAATTAACGATTAAGTTCTAGTGCAGATGGCATTCAATTGTACTTCTTTTGATCAACTTTTGATCAACTTGC